TATGCAAAGCTTTATTGAGGGTTAAGCAGCTTTGTGGTCGACCGTAATAATTTTTCACTGCGTGTGGTACTACCCAGAAGATGTAGAAAACAGCCGTATTCAGGAATTTTTGTAGTGGGCTTTTAATTTATTACAGGCAAACATTTGGGAATTAATATATTAATTTAATATTAAAGTGATAATGCAGATTTGTAAAGAAACAATCTCAAAATATAACTGAATATTAAAATTAATTTAATTTTTTTTTGATGAAACCCCAAAAACAAATTTCTGTTACGGACCATCTGTTCCTACAAACCTTTGAAACGTGCCTGCCCTAAGAAATGCAAATTTGTTTATGGCATCTCTACCGCAAGCCCCATGAACCACCGTGGGGAGTAAGCGGCTTATTCTATAATGAGTCTCAAATATTGTTGGTGACGACTATACAGGCAATGTTTCCCGGATAGAGGAATTGCAAAGAGGCTTGAATAACTAAAGTACTTTCCAACGGTGGAAAGACAAATAACCTTAAAAATTGTGTTTCCTGTCTTGTCAATTTCTCGGTGTCAATCATGCAATAACTATGTTTTATAAAGTTTTAAATTCATAATGAAAATCCATGAAACTTACGCAAAGGTATTGCCGGGTGCAGTTTAAATTTGGTGAGGCTTATTATCACTCGTGAAATACCCTGTATACAGAGTGCTCCTCACATACGAGTAGTGATGATGTATCTACTATGTTTAGAGTTAAAAAAAATGTCTTTGTGCGTGTTGATTGTGTGGTCTGTTACAAAATTCGAAGTGCTGCTGAAAACCACAATATTTGCTGAGGGCAGTTCAGAAATATCTGAACTGTCTCTGACATAGAACTAAACGACTCGGAATCATGGAATTTTTTATTTCTCAACATAATCCCTTAAGGGCGCGTAATTAGCCGCTACGGCAAAAAAATGAACTTCAGCTTCATGTTTAAAATGATAGAGGACAGTTCAGTCTGAATTTTGTTATTTTAAATCATTTTCTCAGGGAAAATTTCCCAACCAGCCTCTACAATTGCCCAGTCGAGTCATGGCAAAGAAAGTTGTTTACTGCTATGCTGAATACACATCTCGCTTATTTTTAGTACGGGTTGCGAAAAATTACAAATGCGCCTTGGTAATAAAGCAATAATGTAATAAATTCTTGGGTCTTAGTGAAGAGCCAAGGGTTTTTCGTAGTGTTCAGACCCTTGTTTTGAGTGTTGTGAGAGCAGAGTTTCATTATTAGCAGATTTTTTTTATTTTTCTGTTGAGGTAAAATCTAATCTAATATAGGTATTTCAGTTTTAAAAACTATTTTTAGGTCAAATAATTGTAATGGGTGCGAAAGGCAAAAATTTTCCCAATAGAGTAAAAAAGTATAAAAAATAAAAATTTCTAAAGGGAGGAAGTTATATTGGATAAAAAAAAACAGTAATGTTCAATTATAATATGTTCTTATTTTTCTATTACATAAAATGTTATATTTTTAAGGGAGGACCTTAATCATTTAAGAAAGATCATAAACACTGAACATCATTATTGCAAATCTTTAGTAGCTGAAACCTCTGTGAACGAAGAACGTGTTGTATGAAGTAAGCGGAAGTTGTATGAAGATATGTGTTTTTTTATTTTATACATTAATGACCAAGAAGATCTCCATGTGGAAATTATTTTAAGAGATCAACAATTTTGGGCTGAAAAAATGCTACCCCATTTAAAAACATTTTATTGGGATTGCATTTTAACAGAAATAATACTGCGAAGAATCCCGAATGGTTTAAAAGCTGTTGAAATAAAGTAATTAGTATAAAATAATAAAAATATTGTCATTTATTGTTTCCTGGTTATCTAATACCTACCATCTCTCCTTTCCATTTATATTGAAGCCATATGCCTACTGTTTGTATCATTTTAAAAAGACATATTTTGTACATACACTCGTAGGAACAATATAATCTGCGCAGTAAATTTTCAAAATTCAAAATCTGGTAAAATTATGTAAAATTAAGACATTGGTATATACAGATGAAAAATATTTATAATAAAAAATTAAAATTTTAAAATATTAATGTCAAACCACCTTTGCATCTGCTGTCTTACTTCTAATCCTAATCATTTAACGTATTTTATTACAAGAGACGTTGATTTGACCAGAGATTTAATATACATATCCAAAGCCTCTGGATTTGACAGATATTTTGTCCCTAGATCCTGGTGATTTTTAACACTACTAAAATCACCAACTGGACAAAAATAAATCCTCCATTTCTAGGAGGCAAGCCCCTCATTTCATAACTTTATTCACCATTCACAGAGTAACAAAATTTAATGAATGATATTTTCCTTTTAGTTAGTTGTCAATACAAGGATTCATAATTTAATTACAAAAAAACATTTTTACATTGGCCCCCCCTGCAGAGAAAACTATTGAACTACAACAGGCCACATTTTCCAAACGTTACATTCAAATAATGGCGGTCTTTGTACTATTTTTTCTTCAATCAGTTTAAAGTAATTATGTACTATAATGTAGCATATAGTAAAGGAGTTGTTATATAACTACATGAAGAAGTTTGTATTACTTTTTATTTGAAATTTTATTAAACAACATTTAATCTAAAAGGAGAATAAATATTTCAAATAAATTTTTAATCATTAAAAACTACACTAACCTCTTTCTTATTATTTTTATAATCTGTATCTGTCAAAAATTTCAGTAAAAAATTAAAATAAAAAAAAATCTGAATGAATTACTCAAACGATGTTCTGAGGTTTTAGTAACGCGCCCTTAAGATGTTGACACACTTTGTATAACTGTGGTGAAGAACTTTAACACCCCCAGAAAAAATAAATTGTTCACCACTAAACCCCCCCACAAACTCGCAGGGTTTTTTTCTGCTCTATCGAATGGAGCTGGTTCCATCTTCATATTATAGAGCAAGAGCCCGTGGTCGCCAGACCTTCGTCATTTTATAAAAGTTGAAAATTTGTCAGGGCATACTTGCAACACAGGTAGGAACGATGGGCAACTATGAAGTTTGGATCATCGTGGCTTTGGCAGGTAACGGGTAGCAAAGGTGTATAAAATACCAACTTAAATTTATCAAATAATAAAGCGTGATTTTTTTTATATTTTCTTTGAAATAATATTAGAAATTATCTCATCTATTGAGAGACTTAATATCGTGGCAACCCTTTGTTAGACACCCTTGAACTTTAATACATTGTAACTGTACTTACGTTATAACACAAAAGCTGAATTTTATACATGTTACTTGCATAACTATTAGAAGATGTTTTCTCAGTAGCCAGACAATTTCGACAGTTCTAAGTGCAGTTTTATAAAATAAATAACTAACTCACAAAAAATTGAGTAGGCTGCGATTTTAAAGTCCTTCGGATGGCAATCCTGATTTTTGACATCAAATGTCAGCGGAAACTTTGACAAGTTTGCATTTTATTTCTTTTGAGTGAAATTATGTTCACTTTAGAGCAGAAAATTTTTATTGCTGTACAAGACGAAAAGGGTGAATGGTCATTTTCATTTTCAGTTTGTGTGGAAAATTTTTAGCCCAGCATCCCAGCCAATGTGTTGCCAACTGTAGAATTTAATCGACGCCCACTCTAATTTATTTATTTTTTTGATCAGACCGCCTTGCGCTCGCACCTACTGCTACCCTATATGTTTGTCTAGCCGGGGGTTAGAACTGGCGAAACTGTATGGCTACTAATAGTTAGCCAACTAACATGTATAAAAAAAATAAATAAATAAATAAAAAATTAGAGTAGGCGACGATTAATACCCTACAGTTGGCAACACGTTGCAAACTGACGGGAGTCAATATTTAGGTTAGGTATGTAAAAACCATTGACAGTAATGACTCAACTAGCGCATCGCCGTCTCCATAGAAATAATCCTTTTCTCGCCTGGGCATTTTTTGAGTTCAAGTGATTCTCGTTGGCGCTTTAATCTGCTCCAATGCATTCTTTACGAAATACCCAGGCGGGATATTGATACATTTGATTAAGGAGGCGGTGGACTAGCGAAATCAAGCGATTTAAGTTGGTGGTGAAAAGAGACACAGTAAGGGAACATTAGGTAAGTCTTTTTTAAGAATCAATTGACAAGTGCCAAGGGACAAATTTGTTTCTTCGGCTAATTTTCGAATTTTTTTTTTTTTTTTTTGAGATTGATCCATTCATTCTTTGTTCAACGCCTTGAATTTTCTCAGGTGTCCTTTTTGTAGGACGTCTACTAATTTTTCTGCGTAACACACTACCTGTTTCTTCAAATAAATTTACGCATTTATGAATTTTATTGACGAGTTGTTGGTAAATGGCTGGAGAATCTGGGAATTTTTGCTGGAAATTTTCCACAGAAACTGGAAGTGAAAATGGTCATTCACCATTTTTGTCTTGTACAAGGTGCTGCATTTTGGATATCCAAATAGGGAATCTCCCAAACTAAAATGTTTAGCCAATAACGAGTGATACATTCATAATACAATTAATAATTGCTTAAACAATTGTTTTTAAATTATTAGTTAAAGTAAGTATTATTTTATTGTCACGGAAACTATGCTTGTACAGAAAACAGGGACTGTTTCAAATAGCGATTCCTGTGGGAGAAAGGTTGTTGGTTTGCCCTTAAAAACCTTAACAACTTGTATGTAGGGTTTTTTTCTCGAATGGAGCTGGTTTCATCTTCGTATTACAATTAGGGGCCGGAATATTGATAATTGTTTATAAGTTGTTAATTAAAGTAAATATTATTGTATTGTCACGAGAATTACGTGTGAATGCAAAATTTCAGCTTGTTCAGATGGTAGGAACTGTCTCAAATTTGACTCGCAAGATTTCGTGCAGACAGACAACAAAGGTTATATAATAAATAGCTATTTTATTCATACGACTATTAAACGTGCAAACTAAGAATTCTCACTGTATGGTTGCTGTACTTTTACCCTGTGAATCTATGAGTTTGTTGGACGGTGATTTTTTTATTTTTACTTTATTTTTTCAGGGTCGCTGCAATAGAGAAAAACCCCCTTGCAAGTACTTCCACCCTCCACAACACCTCAAGGACCAACTTCTTATAAATGGTAGGAATCACTTGGCGTTAAAAAATGCACTTATGCAGCAAATGGGTCTTACGCCTGGACAGCCCTTGGTTCCTGGTCAAGTTCAAGCAGTGGTAAGTAATCCGAAGTAGTACCAACTCTGACATGTTATTTGGTAATGCACGCTGATTTTTTATAATTTTGATTTTGTGTGCGGTCGGAGCGGGTTTATGTCAATCCTGTATTTCTCCATGGCCTACTTTATCTGTCTTCCGCTGCGTTATATACGGCCGTAACATAACGCGCCAAGAGTCAATTCTCTTAACCTCAAAAATATCGTATAAATCGTTTGGTAAGTAGTGCCATCTACTTGGTTAACAGTAAACTTTTTAGTTGATATTTTCACAGTCCTAAATTATAAATCACCTGCACCTCATTCAAAATTAGTTCTTTTTAAATTAATTTGTTACTGAAACGTTCGTCGAAGACTGAAACGACGAACTTGGTCGGCCATACGCGTGATTAGGTAAAGTAACAGTCTGTTGGTGCTGGCAATCCTCAGGGACAAGTAGCTATTTCCATTCTAATTCTAAAAATTTTCTCTAAAACTAAGCCGATTATAGAGAGGATTTATAGCATAATAAGACGAAAGCTGGAATATGTACGTATATTTGAGAACATTCTGTCTATTATAATAATGAGCAGTTGGAACTTAGGTAATAGTATATTATGATACGAGTTTTATAAGAAGCATTTTGTCGCACGCACGTGTTTAGGACACGACGAGCGCAGTGAGGAGTGTCATAAAGCAGTAAGTGCGACAATATGCCTTATAAACGAGATATCATACATTATTTTTTTTTACTCTGCACTTTTTTAAACAAAAAAATAAAAATTTTATTTTTGGCTTTACTTGTGAGTTATTACGGCATGATTTTTCTGTGTTTGGGTGTTGTTTTATTGTTTTTGTTATTGTTTGTTTGTTATGTTTGTTTAAATTTTGGAATTCGTAAAAATTGCAAAGTGAATGAAAAATGCCAAGTGAAACAATGATTTAAGGAAATGATTCTAGGAAAGAAAAATTAAAAATAATATTACTACGCCACTGGAAAAGCACATGCTGCACTTTATAGCAGTACGCATTTACGCGGCATTTCCACTTTTTTCAAATAATGCTCCCTCCTGTAAATACTATCTCCATGGTCTGTAGTCTTTAAGTTATCAGGTAGGTGATGCTAGTTACCGGTCGATTTTTTGAGGTTAGTAGAATCCATCCATCGGCAGTATGTTACGGCCGTATGGAGCGCAGCGGAAGACAGATGAAGTAGGCCATGATTTCTCATCTGGCTGTCACCACTTTATTCAAAGCAGCCATTGCTTAATGTAGAACTGCCGAGGGTACAAAAACTCCCTTTTTGTCTTGATCTTCTACGATTTCAGCCATTTTTCGTACAAGCGGTCACAAATGTTACAAGGAAAAATGTAATCAACTTGTCACAAAAATGTTTTTTTCTAGAGTGATTAGTGTGATTTAAATATTATTCTATTTTTTGTTCAAAATATCGTCAAAATTGAATAAAAACATAAATACGCAACGCGAATTAAACATTGTAATTCACTCAAAGTATGATCAACTATTTTTTTTTTTAATAGAACGGTACATACAGGCTGCGCCAGAACTCGCGCCCCAGAGAAAAATGCCATATAAGGTAAGATCCCAGGAACATGGAAAAATTGTTAAAAAAAATTTATCTATAAAAATTTCGGAGTTATGAGGGTTTAAATTTTGCACTTTGACTCTATTTATTTCTGTTGGAAAAATAATTTTCCAAGTTTTTTTGCTATAGGCTATTAAAAGAGGAAACAAGGAAGCTGTATCCTAAATTGTAACTCTGTTCAATGTTATTTGTGGCTTTTATTGGCAAAATTTTTGTACCTTTAAAAAAATTGTAAAAAAACATATACAAGATCATCAGTATCATTAAATACACATAAAAAAATGTCAAATGTCAAAATTTTTTGACAGATAGAATTTTTTAAACATTTTTTTCGTGTTCCTGGTATCTTACCTTACTTGAAAATTTTCTCTGAGGCGCGAGTTCTGGCGCACCTGTATATGTCTGGTTACATATTTTCATAGAACATGTTTTTCTGAATACGGGAATGCACAAATATTTGATTTTTTGTGACAAGATTTTTTTTAATAAATAAACATGCTGTCACTTGTAAAAATAAATAATAAGGTAAATTAATGAATAATAGTCCTTTTTTTCATGATATGAAAAAGTAGCATTTAGAGGGTCATTTGTGTCCTTTGTGAACGAAAGCCTCGTTTTCTTAACGCAATTACCTAAAAAAAACATAAATCCAAATATTATGTATTCAAAAAATATTCAAAAGTCACTTCTTACTACTCTCACTTATGTACTATTTAAATGCCTAAATTTAAAAACAGCAAAACACAACTGTGAAGAACTGATTTTGTGACTTACTTGTTGATTTTGTTTTTCATGGATATCTTTTTTCGTGGCAATTGGCACTTTTTATAAAT